GTGCAGGACTGGGTGATGGACGGGGGGGGGGGGGGGGGGGGGGCGCAGGGGGCAGGGTCTGGGGGCGGCAGCTGGAGGCGCCCTCCCCAGGTGGCTCTCCTCTCCTGCGCGGGTGCGGGTGCAGCCACGGTCGGTCGTTGCAGGACCAACACGGCAAACTAGGTCGCTCGTCGCTCGTCGGCGCCTGGGTCCAGCACAGCCCACAGTGCCCTACCTGGCCCCCCACCGGCCTGCAGCTCTGGTCCCAGGCCCAGCAGGCTACTCCGGCACAGCCCAGACCCCTGCTGCGGGCTCAGCAGGTCCAGGCCAGTGCTCTTTGCCCCAAATTTACACAAGAGGAGCCCTGGGCCAGAGGGCCCTGCACCTGCCCTGCATGGCGCCCTGCGTGCTGGCGAGCAGGAGGGGCCCCCGGGGCGTCCTGCCCCTGCCTGGGTCCCACTCCCTCCCCTCCCCGCGCCCCACTCCTGGCGCCAGGCCCCCAGCTCTGCCCTGTGTCTGAGGCCTGGGTTTTCCTTGTTAACTGGCCGGGCTGGCCACAGGCGCAGGCCGCTGATAATTATGGAGAAACAATCCGTCGTCTATGTGGGCTCAGACCCGACCCGTTCTGCCACTTCTGCAGGCTGGCAGAACCGGGTGGGCGGCCCTGGGCCGTCTCTGCCTCCTCTCTGCGCCTGGCCAGGAGGCCGGGAAACCTGTCAGGCCGGTCCGACCAAGATCCCAGCTTGCTGCCCGTGCAAGTCGCACACTCCTGCTTCCACCGAGCGCGCGGCTCCCGGAGGCTGAGGTCGACGTGGGCGCCGAGGGCCATGTGAGTACGGGGCCGGGCTGCTGCCCCGGGAGGGCGCGGGCACTGCACAGGGCCTGGCACCAAGCGGGGTCCAGCGCCTGGCAGCGGGGGGCGGGCGGCAGGGCTGGCGTGGGGGGCACAGCCCCTCTCTGGGGCATGGGACCAGGGCCAAGGAAGAGGGGCTCAGTGGGCGTCCTGGTGCAGAGGCTGGAGAGGAGAGGCCAGGTGGAAGCTGGCGCGGCACACCAGGAAGCCATCATCGGGTGAGGGTCTGGGGCAGCGGGAGTGGACAGCCACCCTGGGGCGCTCGTCCTGGACCTGCTCCCCCACCTGGATCCTCAGGGGCAGGGGCTGCCCTGGGGTCAGGGTACCGCACAGTGCAGCCACCCCAGCTCAGCCCCGGGCTCGGGGGACACCCCGTGCCCTCGGCTAGTGTGCGGGGGCAATGACAACGGCTCCTGGTGGCCCGTGGGCTCGGCCTCCCCCACCGGGCCTCAGGCCTCTGGGAGGCTGGCCCAGGCCGGCCCCTCCGCTGGAGTCGGGTTGCAGGGCCCGCTGTTACCTGAGCGCCAGTCACCCCAGCGCGGGAGGGAGCCTGCCTGTTACCTGTGCACGTGTGCACATGCAGGGGCGGGCATGTGTGTGCAGGGCGCACATGTGCATGTGTGTGTGCACCCGCATCTGCTTGTGCACGTGTGTCCTGCTGCGTGCTGGCGTGTGCATGTCCATGTACCCTCTCGGGGCCCTGGGGCATGTGGGGGCAGGGCCACGCGGCTGTGTGTGGGGTGCACACATGTGTCTCAGGTGCACACCCATGTCTTGGGTGCTGTCAGGAAGCCGTGCCCTGTTGGGGGTGGACTCCATGCATATCCACCCGTGCCGCGGCCGCGTGTCCAGCAGATGTTAGAACCGGCCAGCAGCAGCCCTCCCTGAATGCAGCTCAGCCAGACTGAACCAGGAGGCAGCCGAGGCCGGCGTGGCCCCTCTGTGCTGGGGACACGGGCGCCCTGACTGGCAGCTACTCCAACCTCAGCTTCCTCGTTTCTCACCGGGCGACCTCGCCCCCCATGGTCAGCAAGAGGCTGCTGGGCCATGGGCTGCTGGCCACAGCCAGGCCCATGATGACTCCCAGGCTGGCCCCAACCCTGCCGGCCCCCCACAGGCCAGGAGCCCCCATAGCCCAGGGCGGACTCTGCCGGGTGGCCTTGTCGTGCCCCCTCCATATGTCCTGTGATGGGGATGCTGAGGCCGGCCAGGACTCAGCCACGGCTGCCTGGGAGAGGCTTAGCCCAGTGCCGCAGAGGCCCCCGGGCAGGTGGAGACCCTCAGCTTCGAGGTCTGAGTTGGAGCCTAGAAAGGGCCCGTTCGCCTATGCTCATCCCGCCTGCGGCGCCTGCGTGCACGCAGAAGCATCCAGGGCTCTGGTGGTCAGCCTGGCCGCACGGCCGGCAGGAGGCAGGCCCTGGGACAGGAGACCTGGCTGTCTGTGGCGCCCATGGCGGCTGCCCCATACGGGGCACGGGTGCAGAGAAGGCGCCTGAAACACGGTCATTCGGTGGTAGGTGGACAGCTGGACAGACATCAGAGAGGTCGTGGGTCGGGCTGAGGGTCGGCTGGAGCAAGCGTGGCCCCACCGAAGGGGAAGGGCAGCGCCAGGCGGCAGCTATGGCCCAAGACTGGCGCCACTGCAACTTCGATGCCTGCAGCGGCCTGGGGGCAGCAGGAGTGGGCAGCCACCCTGGGGCACTCGTCCCGTACCTGCTCCCCCATCTGGATCCTCGGGGGCAGGGGCTGCCCTGAGTTCAGGGTACCGGATGGTGCCGCTCAGCCCTAGGCACCGGGGACAACCTGTGCCTGCCAATGGGCCACCCTGGACATGGCCGCCGAGGCAGGGCGGGCTCAGTGGCCACGGCGCGAGCAGGCGTGTGCCGCCCCGTTGGGACTCAGGTCTGCCCTGGACGCGGGCACATCCTACTGCAGAGGGGCCCTGCGGCCTTGTCCAGAGGAGCGCGTGGCCCACCAGGGCCCATGAGGGGGGCGCGAGGGGCTGTAGGCCAAGGGCGTCATTGCGTGCTGCGGCCAACAGCACCCCCGCCAGCCCCACGCTGAAGGAGGCTGACCTGGACGGCCTCACCAGAGGTGTCATTCAGACACAGGTCACTTGGACACACGTCACCTGACAGGTGTTACTTGAATGGAGCCTCAAAGGACATCATGTGGGGGGTGGCATTACCCCAGATGGAGGGACGGGGCTCCGGGAGGCCGGCGGCTGGCCCAAGGCCTCGCAGGGGTGCAGGCGGGTCTCGGGTCAGGCCCAGGGCCATGACATCTCCAGCCTCTGCCCACCCTGACCGCTCCCCACGGAGAGCGCGGGGTGGGGCCCTCAGTGTGACCTCCGCCCGGCAGAGGCCTCCCCTGCATCCCTTGGCCAGGCCACCCCAGGCGTCCAGGGTCCACAGAGCAGCGCGTAGCTCTTGGCCCCCAGCCACCTCGCCCCAGCCCGTGCCCAGCTCCCCTGGCGCTCCTGGCAAACACAGAGCAGGTCCCCTGGGGAGCATTTACAACCCAGTGCATTCCCCGCCCACCCCTCCTCCCCACCCTCCGGTCTCCAGGGGTGCAGGCTGCGGAGCCTCCAGGGACGCTGCCTCTGGCCACCTGGCCTCAACCAAACCCATCTTGTCATGTGCCGTCCCACCCCCCGCCCGGGCCAGCTGCCGGGCACCCCTCTGGGAAATGAGGAGCCCCGCAGGGGGCTCCCATGCAGCCTCCAGGCAGGGCATGGGGCGTGTCCTCCTGTCTGTCGGGCCCAAAGAGGCTGGGCACAGAGGACCCTGGGTGCAGGGGCTGGAGGGACAGGCCGGCAGAGGGCACCCCGGTCTGCAGCCCACACTCCATCGTGCCTCAGGGATTGGTCCAGACCGCACCTGCCTGCTTGGGCCAGAGCCAGCGCAGGCCCAGGGCCCGCCGGGCAGCCGTGGTGACCACTGGAAGGGCGGTGGCCCAGGAATCTGCCGTCAGGCGGGTCTGGGTGGAATTTCAGGCTTGGGCTGGCTCCTCAGGGCCCCGCTGGCCGGGCCTGAGCCCACCCAGGCCCCAGCTCCTAGTCTGACCAGATAAGGGGGTCAGAGCCGGCACGGTGGCTGGGAGTGCCCGGCCACACGGGCACCCGCTGGTCGCGCAACCACCCCTAGCAGCGGCCACCCAGGGTCACGCCCAGCTCCCCGGGCCCCACCTGGGGGGTTGGCGTCGACTTTGTCTCTTCGCCCACATGGACCCCACCAAGGGGAGGCCACCCCGAAGAGCCCCTCTCCCCAGAACCGCCACCAAGCGGGCACCCACCCGACCAGCGCCCCAGGCGGCCTGGAGTCCAGGCAGGTCTGCAAAACGAGTTTAGGGCTCCCCACACCACGCCCCAGCTGGCCCCGCGTGCGCCTCGCCAGCACCCGAGGCAGCTGCGCCCTGAGTGCCGCCCTGCAGGAGAGACCTGTCCCCGGCTGCCTCCCTCCCGTGGGCGGGGACCCGCGCAGGCTCGGCTCCAGTGCAGGAGCCGCCGGGGCATCTTCAGGCCCCGCCACTGACCTGAGGCTGTGCCCTGGCCTCAGCCCTGGCAGGCTCCCGCCTCAGCTATGCAGGGGGCCGGGGCCCAGGAAGGCGGCCCTGGGGGCGCAGCGGGGGGAGACCGAGGGCTGTGAAGGGCAGGCTGCAGGGGAGGGCGCGCTGCAGGAACTAAGGGTCCTGGGGGGTGGCCGGGAGCAGGGGCACTTGGGGCCGGGAAGTGCCCAGCGGTGCCCGGTGTGCCTGGCGCTGCCTCCCAGCTGGGGGCAGCGAGACCCAGTGGGATGAGGGCCAGCTGCAGGGCAGCTGGGTGTTTCCGCCTGGCTCCTGGGGAGACAGCCCCGGCACCCCAAAATCCCCCAGGGGGCTTTGGGCTACAGGCTGCTGGGGCCTGGCCCATCTGCCCTCGGACTGCCCGGGAGCCGCCTGCTGCAGGCGGCTGGGAACAGGGGTGTGGGAGCAGCTCCTGTCACCGCCCAGGAGCTGGGGCGGGCGGGACCCCGGGTGGCGTCCCCAGGACCGCCCGGCCCTAGGCCGCAGAGGGTGGAGCTCTGAGCCCCGAGCCTGCCCCAGCGCCTGGACACCCCAGCCCCCTCGCCGACAGGCCTCCCTCCTGCGGCAGGCAGGCAGCAGCGGGGCCGTAGAGGGGCCGCCGGCCATGGACAGCTTCCTGGAGGCGCTCAACAGGCTAAAGGACACGCACGAGGCCGAGGTGCTGGGTGAGCAACCCCCCTCCAGCCGGCCCCCGATGTCTCCTCCACATCCCTCTGACAGGCGCCCTGACCCGGCCCGGCCCCTCTAGACGCCCACCCGCACCCCCCCCCAGCCCCCCCTCCCGACCAGGAGCAGCGCCCTCTGCTGCCCATGCTCCCACTCTGGCCTCGCTGCCCCGTCCGCCCGAGCGCCCAAAGGCCCGAGGCTTCCTGGGGACCCAGAGGGCCCAGGCCAGACGCAGAGGGCGAGGACGCCTGCCGGGTCCCCCAAGAGCCCGCTTTACTGCAGCACCGGGCCCCCCGTCAGCCCCTCCTGGGACACGTGCGGGGGGCCCTCCAGGCTAACATCAGAACCGGGCCCGGGAGAGCGACGCAGTCCAGCCGGGGCCCCAGGCGGCCAGGACGGACCAGGCCGGGGCGGCCTCTGGATGCAGTGAGGGGAGCCGGGCTGGAAGGGGGCACAGGGGTGCAGGCTCCCTGCTGCGGGGGGCGGCGGGCTGGGCTGACCGCCCCTTCCCGGCCCCCAGGCCTGCAGAACAAGCTCCTGGAGCTGAACTCAGAGAGGTGCCGGTGAGTCGGGGCCGCCTGCCCGCGGCCCAGCGTGCGGGACGTGGAAGGGAAGCCGGGCTCGGGGGTGGCGTGGGTCCAGCCTGCTGTCGCGCCTGGAGGAACCGGCAGCGCGGGGCGTGACCCCAGCCCGCCCGGGCGCCCCCGGAACTGGCAATGGGAACACTGCTTGGGAGGGCTGGGGCTGGGGGTGCTCCCTGCTCCCCGCACAGAGAGGGGACTCTGGGATCCCAGGCACAGGCGGTGGACAGTCCCCAGGGGTCAGGGGCAACTCCCATTTGGGGTACGGGGTCAAGCAGGCACAACTACCACCCTCAGGGCCCTGCTGGTGGGCGCGGGGGGCGGGCCACGGCCCGGGAGCGCAGGGCCCACCCGGCTGTGCCCGCAGGGACGCCCAGAGGGTGGGTGAGCTCTGCGCCAAGAACCAGCAGCTCAGGGAGCAGCAGAAGGTGCTGAAGGAGAACCTGCGTGTGCTGGAAAACAGGTGAGGCCTGGCCGCCCGCCCCACCCGGGGGCACCCACAGGGCTCACAGGTAGAGCCTGGGGCACACCGGTCCCCAGACGGGGCTCCCGGAGCAGGGGCAGCGGCGCCCCCCAGGGCCCTCCCAAACTGTGGGCACGGGCGGGGCGCGGGGTGCAGCTGGGGGGCACGAGGGCGCAGCCCGCTCAGCACACACCCCCCCAGGCTGCGGGCCGGCCTGTGCGACCGCTGCCTGGTCACCCAGGAGCTGGCCAGGAAGAAGCAGCAGGAGTTCGAGACCTCGCTCCTCCAGAGCCTGCGGCACCTCTTTGTCCTCAGTGAGCTGGGCCCCGGCGGGGCACAGGGGGACCAGTGGGACACCCCACGGCCGGTCACTCAGTCACAAGGGTTCTGCGAGGGGGGACAGCCCCGGGCCCAGGGAAGCGTCACACTGGGGCCCGTCACTTCTCACCCTTCCAGCTGTGCGGCGGGTGCTGGGGGGCCGGTGGGGGCAGGCCCAGGGGCCAGGGGGCCGCTAACCAGAGCCCCTTCGCAGCCAACGAGATGAACCGGCTGCAGGAGGAGAACGGGGCCTTGAAGGAGGAGGTGAAGCGACTTCGGGGCGCGGGGTGAGCGGTCGGGGTATGGGGTGAGTGGTCGGGGTGTGGGGTGAGCAGTCGCCGCCACAGACACCTGCACTAGGGGGCAGGCACCGGGGCGGGGGGGTTGTGGGCATCTCCACAGCAGACCTCGTGGCCGAGAGCTCAGGAGCCCCAGGGAGCAGCCGGGGACCCCAGCACTGCCACCCTCACCCCGTTTTTGCCTCCATCTCTCCGAGACAGGCCCAACCCCCCGGGTAGGGAGCGTGTCCCGAACCCCCCCTCGCCCCTGCTGCTCCCCTCCCCGGGCGCCTGGAAGGGCGTCACCGAGAAGCTGCCGGGAGGCCAGGAGGAGGCTCAGGACCACCCCCCAGGTGCAGGCCCTTGGGGGGGCGACGGGGCCAGGAGAGGCCTGGGGTCTGAGGAGCCCCTCCGGGCTGAGCCCCCCACAAGCGCCTCCCACACCCCTGCCTCTCCTCCCGCAGAAGAGTCGGCGCTGCCCGGGGCGTCTCCCACGGCCAGGACCTCCCCCAGCGCGGGCCTGCCTGAGCCTCGGGCTGCGGATGCGGTGAGGGCGGCGGAGAGCCTGGAGGAGCGCGGGCGGGCGGGGCAGGGGCAGCCGCCGGTGCGGGCGTGGGGGGCGCCGCTGACCCGTGTCCCCACAGAGCCCCCAGCGCATCTCCAACCAGCTGCACGGGACCGTTGCCCTGGTCCGGCCCGGCTCCTGGGCCTGCCCCGCCGACCGGGGCTCCAGCGATGGGACGCCCCCACTGCCGCCCGCCAGGAGCACCCCCTCTTCGCCCCGCCTCGAGCACAGCCTCCCCCTGGACAGGTGGGGCCGCACACGCCTCGGGCAGCCTCAGTGCTTCAGGTCTGGCTGGCCTCCACTGGCCAGGCTTGCGGGAAGGGCCAGTCCCCCCAGGAGCCCCCCAGCCCCTGGGTCCCACCCTGGGACCTTCCCGCACAGTCCCCGGGCAGCCAGAGGGTGGCCCCTGGGGCGGAGGGAGATGCTTGCCTGCGAGGGTCTGGGTGCCGGCTGCCCTCAGGGCTTGGCCTGCAGAGTGGGGGGCCTGCCTGCCCTCGACACCTTAGCTCCCTAGGCCTGGGTGCTTCCCTGGGAAGTGGGTGACAAGAGCTTCCCCCCACAGCTTCCTGCGGGCCTCCCAGTCCCCCGCTGGGGCCTCCGAATCCCTGAAGCGCTCCGTCCAGGCCAACCACCTCTGCCTCTTGAATTGCCACCTGTCCCTGAAGCTTCGGAGCCCCCACAGCAGCCCTGGGGCCCCAGCCTCAGCCCCCAGGGGTCCCCGGGGCCTGGGCCTGAAGGCCAGGGAGACGGAGGCCTGGGAGGAGCCCACAGGCCCCCAGGTGGACAGGCGAGACCCACGGCTAGAGGGGCCGCTGCACCTGCTCCTGGCCCAGCAGCTGCGGGAGCAGCTGGGCAGCGCCAGGCTGAGGGGCCCGCCCACACCAGGAGGGACGCCGCCCTCCCCGCCCACTGGCTCCGACTCAGAGGGCCCCAAGGGGCAGGGGGCCAGGATAGGCCTGCGCAGCCCCAGGGGAGAGGAGGCCACAGGGGACTATATCCCAGACAAGCCCCTGGACCTCTCGGAGTGGGGCCGGGGCCGGGATGCCCCCAAGCCGACTGTCAGGCCGGGGTCGCGCACCCCCGCAGCTCATGCTCCCAGCCCCAAGCCCCTCCTGGGAGGCGAGCCACCCGCCCTGACGCGCAGCCCCTGGGCACTCAGCGGTGGCGCCCAGGGAGCCAGGGCGCCGGAGCCGGAGGAGCCGCCCGCTGCCAAGGTGAGGGCCAGCCCAGGTCATGGGCCCCGCCCCAGCCCACCAGCCCCACACAGGCCAGCAGCCAGCTGGGCGCTCTGCCCTCTGCCCACAGGCCGGGGCTCAGGAGGGAGGGGCTGGGGCCAGCCAGAGGAGACTGCTGGGCGGTGGCCCCGGCGGGGCAGGCGGGGTTGAGGGGGGCAGGCCTCCAAGGCGCACTCAGCCGCTTACTTGCTCCTCCCAGGACCCCACATATGCCCTCCCGGCGCCCCGCCCCAGCCTGCCTTCCCCAGGTGGGCCTGGAGGTGAGACCAGAAGGAGGCCAAGGCCGTCCCCCCACCCCCAGGGCCCCGAGGCTGATGGCCCCCCAGGTGAGGACAGGCCCCAGGAAGGGCACCCCAGTGGGGGAGGTGGCCCTGGGGAGGCGGGCCGCCTCTTGCAGATGCGGGGTGGGCTGGGGCCAGGAGGCGCTTCCGAGCTGAGCACAGCCAGAGGCAGCGGGGGCGCTGCAGGCCCCGCAGTCTCCCCTCCTGCCGGGCTTGCTGGACTCTGACCACCAGCCTGGCCTGACCTGCCTCCCCCCCCCACACCGTGTTCTGCAGAGCCCTGTGAAGCTGATGGCCAGTGGCTGGACTCCTACACTTCGGACAGTGAGGTGGGTCCCGGGCAGGCCACGCTGCCAGGTGCCGAGGCGGGGGGTGGGGGGAACCTCACTCTGACCCCATTGCCTTCTGCCCAGGTGGGCCTGAGCCCCCCGCGGAGCCTGCTAGGGGAGGAGCCCAGGTGCTTCTGTGGCCAGGAGCGTGGGCCGGGCCAGCAGCGGAAGAGGAAGTGGGCCTCAGAGCCCTGGACTGCAGGTACTGGGGGGGAGGGAGAGGTCGGTGCAGCACCCAGGCCCCACCCCGCCTTTCTGCCCGCTTGAGGACTGGAACCCAGAAACCAGGTCCCAAAGGGAGCCGGGGTAACCTCGTCAGGCCCATCGACCTAAGCCCGGTTTTGCACCTGCACACCCCCAAGAGGGCCAGGCCCAGACACCTGAGCTTCACGGCATGAAGCTGGGGCCTCTCCATCACCTGGGAGGGGCGTCCTGGCCACAGCAGCCCTGCGCCCTGCGTGCCACCCCCACCTCTCTCCCGGTCCCACCCAGGAAGGTGCAGCAACGGAGGTGTGGCGTGCCCCCTCCCTGCTGGGGGATCTAAGGGAAGCTCCCAGCTGTGCAAAGCTTGACCTGGGACAGCATCCCTGGTCCCACAGGAGCAGCGAACCCGGGCGGGAGATGGTGCCTCCCCACTTCCAGCCGCGGACACCAGGGTGTGGGCGGGCCCCTCAGCCTGACGCTGCCCAGCTGCTCCCGCAGCTCAGGCCAGGCCCGCAGGTGCCTGGGAACCTCTGCTCCCCGAGCTGACAGTGGGTGCCACCTGATGTGGCCCAGGGCACGGTGGGCAGGGGCCCCCACACTGCCCAGTGGCCAGGAGGCACCCCCTTGTTAGCTCGGGAGCCACGAGGGGTGGGCACACCTGTCCTAGGTGCCACTTCCTCCTGGGTGGCCTGAGAAGCTATCCTGGGAATGTGGTCAGCTGGGGGCAGGTTGCCTCCCTTCCCGTCACCGAGCCCAGCCCCTCAGCCCCCTGGCAGGGCAGGGCTCCCCAGCAGGTGTGCGCGCACGGTAGTCAGGGGCCAGCGGCCAGCCTGCCACGTGCCAGGACACCGTCCACCCTGTATCTGGTGCCCTGAGAGGCGGCATTCGGTGTTTCCTGGGTGGGGAAACTGAGTCGCAGACGGGAGAGGTACCTTGCCCGCGATTCCTGCCGGTACAGGGGTCAGGATTCCAACCGGAAGCAGAGCTGGTCCTGGGGCCCCTCACAGTCGTTTCCTGCCAGCGTCCCAGGGTCAGACGCCCTCCCCAGAGGCCCAGCCCCGGGCACCCGTGGAGGTACCACCAGCGTCTCAGGCCTCTGAGAGGGTCTCCCCCAAGCCCAGGCTGTCATGAATGCCCGGCCTGCTGCCAGGCAGAGAGCAGGATGGGACAGGCGTCCTGGGGCCCGCGGCTGGCAGAGGGCCCGCCCTTCCACCAACTCCCCACGCTCACCCTGCACTTGGGCCACCTGCTCCGGTGTCCACCGCTGTCCGGAGAAAGCTGACCCCACCAGGCGGGCCCACCAGGCCTGGGTGAGGACACGCTGCCCGGCTCTGCGCCGCCCCCTGACCGACCCCGGCATGCTTCCCGCAGCCTCTGAGAAGCCGCGCCCCGGGAGGAGGAACCCCAGGGAGCCCCCAGCAGGGGACCGGGGGCCCAGGAGCCCAAGGGAGCCTGTGGACGGCAGCCACTCACTGGACAGCAGCAGCTGCGAGGAGGCCTAGCGGGCCAGTGGGACCCCACGTCCAAGCCAGCAGCAGCCTCAGTGGGGTCAGGAAGGCCGAGGGGGCCTCCGATGGCCTCCGGACCCTCCCACTCCATGTATCTCTGCAGTGGCCGCTGCCCAGCCGCCCCCTCACCCCAGCACCTGCTTCCTGTTGCGGACTGGGGGTCCGGAAGGCGGGGTACCCGCCGTGCACAGGCAGCGCCCTCGGCCCCTGGCGGCCCAGCTCCTGGGCCCGCTTCCTTCCCTGACAGGTGCAGAGGCCGGGCGGCGGTCTCGGGCGCCCCCTCGTGGATCCACAAACTGGTGCAGGTCGGTGAGGGCTCAAGGAGGCTGCGGTGGGCCCTCAGCGGGGACCCCGGCGCAGGAGAACGAAGGTGTAAGGAAGGTTGGCATGTGCGACTGGCAGCGCCGGTCAGCCTGCCCGCGCCCGTGGGACACATGACTTCAGGGGCTCCCGACTGCATCCGGAGCCGGAGGTCGCTCCCTGGGGGCTGGCGTGGGACACTGGGGGGCAAGATCAGAGACGAGCCCCCGCCCAGGGCCGCCCTCCCCACCACCGAGTCCCAGGTCCTGCTTCACCACTGCCCACTGGACAGCCAGGCCTCCGCCTCAGCACGGGGCGCTCTGCTCCCCAGGGCGCTGACACTCTGGGGGGTCTCAGCGCCTCCCAGGAGGGGCGTCCCGCACCCACGCCGCAGGGCCTTGGGGACAGGCGGGGGCCGAGCTCGAAGCCGCTCCCGGGGCCAGGAGGCCTGGAAGCCGCTCCCCGGTCGGGGGCGGGAGGCGGGGCTGAGAGCCCGGAGGGAAGCCCGGGGGGCGCGCGGCCAGGTCTCCCTGTCGGGAAAAGCGGCTTTTTCTGAAATCAAATCAAATAAAACCCGAATCCCGTTCACACCCGGTCCAGGCCAGGGCTGGCGCGGGATACCGTGCGGCCTGCGGGGCCAATTTGGAAGGGCAGAGGGAAAGGCGGGGCCTGGGCGCGGGGTGCGCCTGAGGGGGCACGAGGGCGAGGGGTGACGGCCCACAGGGGTGCGGGTCACTCGGGGACCCCGAGGGCCGCCAGCTGCCTTCATGCGTTCACGCCCGGTCCTCCCTCCGCGCCCCCCCCCGCCCGGGACCCGCGGAGGGCCTGGGGGACACCAGCGCCGCCCCGGGTGGGCTCCCCACGCGCCCCCGGCCCGACCGCAGCCCATCCCGCACCCCTGAGGCCGCGGGCCCAAGGCAGCCCCGAAGGCGGCACGCGGGGGCGCGACCCGCCCCGAGACGCAGAGGCGGCCGGCTCCGGGGCGGGACACGAGGACCGGAGCGGCCCTGCGGGCAGGGAGGGAGCGCGGGGCCCGTCTCGCCCTCGCCGATGCGGCAGGCCAGGCGCGGGCGCCCCGGCTCCCGCGCGGGGACGCGAACCCGCGCGCAGGCCGGGCCCGGCCCCGGGGCCCGCTCGCTCCCTCGGGCGCGCCGGAACGGCCGCGGGGCCCGCGCGCCCCCGGAGCCGGCCAATGGGCGCGCGCGCCGGCCCGGCATTTGCATGCGGGCGCGCCGCGGCCAATGAGCGGCGGGCGCGGGCGCGTGCGCGCGGCGGGCGGCGGCGGCGGCGGGCGGCCGGCGCGCTCAGTCGAGGATGGCCGCGGCCGCGGCGGGCGGAGCCCCGGGCCCTGCCCCCGGCCCCGGCCCCGGCCCCGGCCCCGCGCCCGCCCGCGCCCCGCCGCCCGCCCGGAGGCGCGGGGACTCGCGGCGCCGCCAGGCCGCGCTCTTCTTCCTCAGCAACATCTCGCTGGACGGGCGGCCCCCGAGCGCCGGCCCCGGCGGCGAGAAGCCCCCGCCGCCGCCGCCCGCCGAGGCCCGCGCGCCGCCCGCGCCGCCCGCCCGCCCGCCCCCCGCGCCGCCCGCGCCGCCCGCGCCCGCCGGCCCGCCCGCCCGCGCCGCGCCGCCCCAGGGCCTGCTCAGCCCCGCGCCCGCCGGCCTCGGGCTCGGCCTCGGGCTCGGCCTGGACGGGCAGCGCCAGAGGTGAGTGGGCGCGGGCGGCGGGGGGGCGGGGCCCCCACCCGGGCGCCCCTGGGCGCGGGGCCCCTCGCGCTCTGCCCGCCCCCGAGGCCGGGGTGCCGGCCCCTCGGTCGGCGCCGCCCCGGCCCTGGACACACCCCCTGCCCAGCGCTTTCCAGGCCAGGCACTGGGCTCAGGCAGCCCTCACCACCCTCACCGCCCTCACCACCCGCACTTCCCCGAGGGGCTTCTGTGGCCAGGGCCGCCCCGCGCCCTGGCCTCAGGCCCCGGCCCACCCACCTGGACTCCCGGTCTTGCTCCCCTTATCTCCAGGCCCGCCCCTGTCCCCTTGGCGCCCAGCAGCCCTGCCTCATTCCACTTCCAGGCGCCCCAAGCTCTGCCCCCCAGTCTGTTGCCCCCACCCCAGAGCACTGGCCAGGGTCACCTTGCCTCCTGGGCCCTTCCATGACCTGGGGCGCCTCCACCCGCCTGCCGCCTCGGCCTGGGGTGATTTGGGCTCCGAGCCAGGATGGACAGCACCTCATGGTCCCCCCTCAAGGCCACAGCGCCTGGCCACCCAGCGCCTGGCCACCCACCGCCTGAGGCCTACCCTGCAGGGGGGGGGTGCAGGGGCTCTGAGCGGGAGTCCCATGGGATCCCCGGGTTCCAGAGGGGACGGGTCTTGCCTGGAGGGCATCCAGGCCACACTGCCCAAGGCCTACCATGCCCCCAGCCTGGGCAGGCTGAGGTGCTGGGTGTTGGCTGGGGTCCAAAGCAAGGCGCCTTGTCAAGCCCTCCAGGGTGCACCCCGAGTCCAGCCATCCCACCAGCTCTGTGGGCTGCCCCGCCGAGGCCCGCCCTCTGCGCACACCGCACGGCCCGGCCCCTCAGCCAATGGGGCACAGGGCTCTGTTGGCACCAAATGCAGTCCCACGGCCCAGCCCGACCCCCTGCGGGCCTGAGCGGGAGAAGGCGCAGCAGGACGGGGCACCAGCTCCCTGGGCTGCGCTTGGGCCTCCTGCTCCAGCTCAAGCACCCAGGTTGGAGTCTGGAGGTGGTGACCCCAGAGGCCTCGGAGCCAGCCCCGGCCCACGTTGGGCCACCCATGGGACGCGGGTGTTTCTGCTTTGCCAGGCCGGGACTCGGCCGATGGGGTCAGGCCAGGCCCCCACTTGCACCCCCTGGCTGCGGAGCTCTAGATGCCTGCAGGGGGGCCACAGAGGGCACTTGGGGCTCCCGGCTCCCCTTACAAAGCAGAGGAAGCTGGCACCGCATCGGCAGCCGTGTCTCCCGCGGACTCCCCTTCCCACCAGCGCCTGTCAGCGTGGCCCTGCCGTGTGCAGCGCCGAGAGCGGACTCGCACTGGGTGCAGAGACCGGGGTAGCCTCCGCCCCACTTAACATGGGGTGGCTGGAGAGCGGGTTACCTCTGCTGCGCTCGGGACGGGCTTGGGGAAGTCTGACAGAGCCAGGAGGCAGAGTCGGGAGCCGGCAGAGGCCAGTGCCAGGCCGCGAGGACCAGGTGGGCTCTGGGGAGTGGGGTGCTGGCACTGCAGGGCCTCCAGCGTGAGGTCCCCTCATGCAGGTGCTCCGGGGAGCCTCAGGCGTCGCCTGGGCAATTACCCGAGGAAATAAGCCTGAGAGCCGGGCAGCTCCGGGCAGAGCTGGACTCCCTCTGCCCGTCCCCACCGAGGCTGCGCTGGCGCCAGAGCCGCCTTCCTTGGGCTCCGGGACGTCCCCACTCTCTGTTCACCCTGCCCGACCCCTCGCCCCAGCCGACCCCCTCTGGCCGGCCTGGCTTTGCTCACTTCAAACAGAAAACAAAAAAAAAAGAAACAATTCTAGTTGCTTCCACAGCTCCTGTTTCTTTTTTTTTTAAGATTGATTTATTTATGCATACAAGAGCCGGGGTGCAGGCCAGAGGTGCGGGGGTGAGAGGACTCACCGGAGACAGCGGGGAGCAGAACAGGCAGACTGACCGAAGCCCACTGCGGAGGGGAGCAGCGGGCGGACAGGAGGGGTCTGCACGCCATGTGGGCATCTCCCTGGCCGGGGATTGAACCGGCACTGCAGCGGCTGCGGACAGCTTCATAGGTTGTGTCTTAACCCCTTGCGGCACCGGGGAGGCCCCAAGCTCCAGTTTCCTTTGTCGTGTGGAGAACTCACTGAGCGAGCAGGAAAGGACTCAGGTCAAGGATAGTCTCAGAACTCCCGCCCCCGGCTGTGTTCCGGGCAGCTGCCGGGCCTCTCTGCTACCAGCACGGGCGCAGTGTGGGGCTACACCCTGCAGGCAGGGCCTGGGCAGCACGGTCCAGGGGCTCTTTGTACCTCCTCCAGGCGCATGGCCAGCGGGGCTGCCGGGCCAGAGCGTGGCGGGCCAGGGCTTGACCAGCAGCAGCCGGAAGCCCGAGGGCCAGGGCTGGGCTTCCCCTGTGGCCTCCCTGCAGGCGTGCTGCACGCAGCGTGCCTATGCGCACCCCTTTTTATAAGACAGGTCTACTGAGCCCCGTCACCTCTCCAGACGTCACTGTCTCCTGGACGCCCACTCTGAGGCCTTCCTACAGGCAGCATTGCGGCGTGTGCAGGGGCAGCTGCGCCGTGCGCCCCAGGCCACAAACCCAGGCGCTCCCGGGGTATGGCTGCTGTGCGGCCAGGCTGAGGCCCCACTCCCAGAAGCCTCTGGCCCAGGCCCGCCCACAGCGGGCCCAGCCTGCTCAACGGCATCTTCAGAGGTCCACTGAGTCTGGCGTCTGCCTGCAGGCTGTGCTTGTGAGGCCTGGAAAGTTCCAGAGGCCCGGTGGGAGGGTGTGGGTGCAGCCGAGTCAGGGGAGTGCCCTGGAAGACCAGCCCCGAAGCCCTCTATGGCTGCCCCGGGCCAGCACACTCCCTGCGGAGATGGCGTGTACGGCTTGGGGGTGGGCCATGCTGAGTGAGGACACGGGGCCTGCCCGCAGCACCGCAGGCTGGCTCCTGTGGGGACCTGCTGTCCACACCCCCCTGCGCCGGGCCGTGCTGGAGCCGCTGGGTCCCCGCTATGGCGGGCTCCCCGGAATATTGGCGGAGGCCGGGGCCCATGGGCCATGGGGGAGGACGCGCTCCTCCGCTGGGAACACGGCCCGGGAGGCAGTGGGCGCAGCACAGGGAGGAAGAACTGAATGAGAATGTTCTGGTCTTGGGACAGCCCTGCTGGGCCAGGGCTCGAGGAAGCTCTGGGACAAGGGTCCCCTTGGGAGCGCACCCCAACTCTCCCATGTCCTTCACAGAAGACGCGTCGCCTCCCAGCGCTGCTCCCTGGAGCTCCTGGAAGACCCTGTGGGCTGCGCCTCTGTCCAAAGGTGAGTCAGGCCCAGCCCTGGCCCGCGCGCCCGGGGCAGGACAGGAGTGACGCCCTTGTCCTTGCAGGACCAAACCCATCTCTGGGTCCCCTCGGCACAAGGGCCTGAAGAAGACCCACTTCATCAAGAACATGCGGCAGTACGACACGAGGAGCAGCCGGTGGGCATCCCCCCGCTCCCGTGGCTGCCCCTCCAAAGGACCCCAGGCCCTCCCCCACCACCCGTGGCTCCGCGTCTTCCCGAGTCCCCAACCTCCTGGACACCCTGGAGTACAACCCCAACCTCCTGGTCTTCCCGGGCGCCTCTCCGCACCCCCCATGGCAGTGCCCTGCCCGGCCAGAAAAGAGCAGGAGCTGGGGTGGCCAGACCACTGTCGTGCCCTGATCTCACGCGTGCCCCCCGCCCTGGCCCATGTGCCCCCAGGATCGTGCTGATCTGCGCGAAGCGCTCGCTGTGCGCGGCCTTCTCGGTCCTGCCCTACGGCGACGGCCTGCGGGTCAGGTGAGCTCGGGCGTCGGGGGGCCCGACAGGGGCGCCTCCTGTCCACTCAGCGGAGGCTCCTGTGGAAGCTTCTGGGCCCGATGCCCCCAGGGCCTGGTTCTTGGGAGGGCAGGCTTAGCCCTGCCTTTGCTGAGCTGCCTGAATGCAGTGGGGCGCGCCCGGGGCCCGCACGGGCAGTCTCGGCGGGACTCTGGCGAGGAGGCGGCCACCGGTGGGGAAGCCTGTGGCTGCGGCCAGCTGTGGGGACGCCCGCTGGCGGGGCCTGCACCCAGCCGGTCGAGTGTGACAGGGCAGAGGGCGCGGGCTGGGGGGACCGCGGGGCACGGGTCAGCGGCCACCGCCCCTGGGCTGGGCAGGAAGCAAGAGGAGACCCCTCCCCCGTCCTGCGCCCGCAGTGACCTCAGGGTGGACAGCCAGAAGCAGAGGCACCCGTCCGGGGGCGTCGCTGTGCCCTCCGAGATGGTCTTCGAGCTGGAAGGCGTGGAGCTGGGGGCCGACGGGAAGGTAATGGCGCTCCGCCCGGGGTACGGGGCGCACCCGAGGGCGGGGGTGGACGGCCCGGAGCTGCTCATCCTGAGCACATCAGCTGGATGGCCCAGCAGGGCGGGGTGGGGGGAGAGGGCGCGGGCAGGACCACCAACCAGCGGCGGGCGCGGCTGCCTCGCAGGTGGTGTCCTACGCCAGGTTCCTGTACCCAACCAATGCCCTGGTGGTGCACAAGCCCGACGGCCACGGCCCGCCCGCCCCGCCCCGGCCCAGCGCCACCCGCACCCTGCCGGGCTCCAGACACAAGCCTGCCTCCGCCAAGCCGGTGCCAGCGAGCTCAGAACTAGGTAGCCCCACACCCTGCCGGGCACGGGACCGGGTGGGCCCTTAGGCCCTAGCTGGGCCGGTGACCACTCTGGCCTGGCCAGGGACACTGAGTGGCCTCCACTGAGGAGCCCCACTTGAGTCTGAGGGCAGACAGCCTGGGCCTGGGGGGTTGCGGTGTGGAGGGGGGACTCCCTGAAAGCAGCGGGGAAGCCAGCCACAGGTGGCTCCAGGGAAGGGGCCTCCTCCCATCCTCAGCGGGGAGGGGCTGCAGGGCCAGGGCCCTTGGACCGGGAGCCCCAGGCCTGTGTTCTACACCCTGCCCTCGGCCCCTGCTGCTCCCCGGGCACCATAGAGCGCGGGTGGGCCTGGGCGGGCAGAGCCAGTCGACCGGGGCTGGCGGAGCAGCACTGCTGTCTGCTTGCAGGGAGCGACGGGGACACCCTGGAGTACAACCCCAACCTCCTGGACGACCCGCAGTGGCCCTGCGGCAAGCACAAGAGGGTGCTCATCTTCGCGTCCTACATGGTAGGGAGCGCCCGCCAGACGCCCTCCCACAGCGGCCCGGGCTCCGGAGCCAGCGGCCAGTCACCAAGAGCAGCGCCGGCCACCCCTGAGGCCCGCGCACCGCTCCCACGGCATGCACGGCCCCAGGCTGCCGCGCCCACCCTGCACCCTTCTCTTGCAGACCACGGTCATTGAGTACGTGAAGCCCTCGGACCTCAAGAAGGACATGAACGAGACCTTCCGCGAGAAGTTCCCGCACATCAAGCTGACGCTGAGCAAGATCAGGAGGTAAGGAAGGGTGAGCCACCCCTCCGCCACAGGCCCTGGACCCGGTGCCCGCGTGGCCCCTCCCAGCCCATTCTGCACAGGTCAGTAGCAGCAGCGCTGCCTCCCCCGCGGCCCCATCACTGGAGCGGGGTCTGAGGCCTGCTGGGGGTGCAGAGGCCCAGCGAGGGGCAGGTGAGGCCCGACCCCTCTGCTGCCGCCCTCCTGGCCCCACCCTGCGTGTGCTGGAGGCGGGCCCAGCCCCAGCTCTGGCTTCCCGTGAACCCGCAGCCTGAAGCGGGAGATGCGCAACCTGTCAGAGGAGTGCAGCCTGGAGCCCGCGGCCGTGTCCCTGGCCTACGTCTACTTCGAGAAGCTGGTCCTGCAGGGCAAGCTCAACAAGCAGAACCGCAAGCTATGCGCGGGCGCCTGTGTGCTGCTGGGCGCCAAGATCAGCGGCGACCTCCGCAAGAGCGAGGTGAAGCAGCTCATCGATGTGAGTAGGAGCCGCCACCCCCTGGGCCAGGCCACCGCCCCCGCGCCCGCTGACCCCTCTCTCCTGCAGAAGCTGGAGGAGCGATTCCGATTCAACCGGCGGGACCTGATTGGCTTCGAGTTCACGGTGCTGGTGGCCCTGGAGCTCGCGCTGTATCTGCCCGAGAGCCAGGTGCTACCGCACTACCGGCGCCTCACGCAGCAGTCCTAGCGTGCCCTGCGCCTCCGGAGGATGCTGCTTCCAGCCTAGCGCGCCGGGGCGCCGCGAGAGCCGGGTTCCACGTGAATAAGTGCGGTTTTGGGGTCAGGGCCGCTGGCACCTCAGTATGGCATAAGCCTGGGGCAGGCCTGGAGCCTGAACTCCCCAGCCTGCCCCACTGGCCCAGGGCTGTCTGGGCGGCCACAGTGCTGAGTTGCAGAGTCGGTGTGGGGAAGCCTGGTGCCTGGCCCCGGGGCACTCAGATCTGTTCCTCCCAGTGCCACTGTGAGTCCTGCTCCTGCGCCGCCTTTGGCATTTCCAGGGCTGCCCCCGCCTCTCTCTGGACCACAGGCTGCACCTCAGGACAGTCATGGGGCTCCCGGCTCCATGCCAAGCAATATGCTGACCAAGAAAAACCACGTATTTAGTGTAGGTTGGGGTTTGGTTCTGCGCGGAAGCCTGGAAAGTGACTTGAAACCACAGACCCCAATAGGGAGGCTGTGGGCCCACCCCACCCCGCCCAAGCAGGGGTCTGTTCTGGCTGGCCCGGCACCCTGCGCCCCCCACACACAGGTCTTGGCCAAGCGTGTCCGCAGGCCTGCTCGTGTGGATCCCATGCCCAGGGCTCCAGCCTGCCAACCATCAGCGTCACTGGACAGAGAACCTGGACTTTTCATGGGTCGTGACCTCTGAAGGGACCACGCTGCACCCCTGCTGCGGTGACCAGAGACCCAGGGCAAGGCCCTGCATGCCAACCACGTGGGTGGTGCTTCAGCAGAGGCTGCTGCTACCCACCAGGGCGCCTGACCACCATCACCCCGGCCCGAGCCCCCAGGGGTGCAGGCCCTGCTGCTCACTCTGCCCATTATCACAGAGCCCATCCTCTCCCACGTGGTCCCTCTAACCCAGCGCAGGGACAGGATGGATGCCATCCCTGCTTGCAGCAGGGTGTTCTGGTTTACAGCTTAGCCCAAGGACAAGGTGCCCCCTGGGAGCTCACCTGCTTTAGAGCTTGATAGATGTGCTAATTTAAGTTTATTTATGTAGGAAGGTTTTGTTATTTGCCAAACTGGGGCTACCTTTTTGGTTTGAAGCCCCTCCCCCATCTCCTCTGTAGGCCCTCAAGAGCTACCCTGGGGGGTCATCACTGAAGCCAAATTTCAACCCACCCTTCCTACTCCAGCACAACCCAGACCCTGAGGTGGGGCCGCCCCCTCAGCACCTGGCGCCAGGGTGGGGCGTGAGCTGTGCCACAATCTGTTCCAAATGGTGTTACTGTATTTGTGCTTGAAAGTAAAACTTGGTTTTTGCAAGTTCGTAGGTTGTGTCTTTGCAGCTGACCCCCCATGTGCCCCATCCCTTTCCAGCTGACCCCCCCCACACACACACACACACACGTGCCCCAACCCTGCAGACCAGGCGCCGAGGCTCGGACAAGCTTTTTATTGTTTATTTATGACAATGCCTCATCAGTCAAAAGTTCCTGGGAAGAAAAAGAGCCGGGTTAGAGCCTCGTCCACGCGGGAGCGCGCGCCCCTCCGCGCCCGCCCGCCGCCCCCTTACTTGGACACGATGCCGTCCCCCTTGGCCAGCCGGAGAATGGAGTCGTCGGACTCGCCCTGGAGAAGCGCGTGGCGGTCAGGCCGGGGTCCCCTCGGGCGCCCGCGCCCCCGCCCCGCGAGCCGGACGGGCACTCACCATGCGGCGGATGGCCCCGCAGATGGCGTAGGTCTTGAACTGGCCGTTGAACCTGCCCGTCACCTTGTCCACCTCGGCCACGTTCATCTGGATGGACGCGTGGTCCTTGGCGCCGATAATGCGGTTGCTGGCGGAGCTGCGGGGGCGCGCGGTGAGCGGGGCGGCGGCGGGGCCGTGGGGCGTGGGGCGCGGGGCGGGGCGGGGGGGCCGTGGGGGCCGGGGCGCGGGGCGGCGGGGCCGTGGGGCGCGGGGCGGGGGGGCCGTGGGGGGCCGGGGCGGGGGGGCCGTGGGGGCCGGGGCGCGGGGCGGGGGGGCCGTGGGGGCCGGGGCGCGGGGGCCGTGGGGGCCGGGGCGCGGGGCGGGGGGGGCCGGGGGGGCGCGGGGGCCGGGGGCGCGGGCGGCGGGCGCTCACCATTTCCGCGGCACGTAGAGGTCCACGAACTCGCCGGCGTCGTTCTGCATGGTGAGGGCGTCTGCGGAGCCCCGCGCGCGCGTGAGGACCGGCCGCCCCGCCCGCCCGCGCCAGCCCGCCGCCCGCCGCCCGCCCGCGCCAGCCCGCCGCCCCCCGCCCGCGGTCCGCCGCCCGGCCCGCGCCGCCACCTGGTGCCTCCTCGTCGAGCGCGAGCGCAGAGAGGAAGCGCGGAGCGCCGGGGCCGCGGTGTGGGCGCGCGGGGCGGGGTCCGGGCGAGCGCTTCCGGGTCGCGGCGCCTGCGCGCCCCGCCCGGGAGTGACGCGCTTCCGCCCCGCGCCGGCCCCGCCCCGCCCCCGCGCCGGCCCCGCCCCCGCGCCGGCCCCGCCTCTCCGTCGGGCGGGGGCGGGGCGCGTCTGTCCGGCCCGGCCCGGCCGGCCGTGCGCGCGCGCTGCCCGCGAGGGGCCCGAGCCGCGGCCCCCGGGACCGAGGGCGTCAGCGACGGCCGCCCCGCGCCGCAGCCGGCGCTTCCCGGACGGCCCCCGCGGTGCCGCAGCCCCGGGACGCCGCGCGTGGGGCGGGCGCGGCCGCAGAGCGCGGTCGGGACGTGCCCGCGGCCGGGGACGGGGCGCGGGCCGGGCCCGGGGGCCCCGGGGGGCGGGGCCGGCGGCCCCCGGCGCGTCCCCGCGAGTCACCCCGCCCGACCCCGGGAGCGTGTCCGCTGCGCGCGGGGCCTCGCCCGAAGGGAGCCGCGCCGCCCCGAGCCGCTGCCCCCGCGCCTTGGGGGCCGAGGACCCCGACGCCCGCGGGGCGGGCCGGGGCGGGCGGGCGGGCCGGGCGTCTGAGGAAGCCGGGGTGGGCAGGGTCGGCCCGCGGCCGGCCGCGCGTGGGGAGTGCGCGCAGCCCCTCGCCCTGCGGGGACCCTGCGCCCTTCCCGGCGCCGCCGCAGTCCCGGTTCCCTGCACCGCGCCAGAGAGAGCGGCGGGGGGGGGGGGGGGGCCTCCCCCCCTGTTCGGGCCCCAGCCCCCCCCTCGAGCAACCCAGAGTCGGGGACACCCAACCCCCGCGACGTTTCTGGTCAAGACAAAAGCCCATCCCGGAACGCGCGGGGCTCGGGGCCTGGGGTCCCGGCCGCAGGGCGAGCTCGGGCCGCGGCAGCCCGGCGCCGGCTCCGCGTCCCGGTGGTGCTGCCGCCCCGACAAGAGCCCGTCGGCGGCGGGAGAAGCCGCGCGGGGCAGCCTGAGGCCGGCGTGGGCGCCCGCGGGGGCGCGGGTCGCTGAGGGCGCGCGCTGCGCCTCCCGCGTGGGATCAGCCGGGAGCCCATTCGGACGCCGGAGACTCGGTCCTCCGAGCCGGGCTGAGACAGTCCTCCGGGGAGCGCGTGACGGGAGTTTCACTTTGACAGTAACAGCCTGCGCCGGCTCTCGGCCGAGCAGCCAGAGCACTTCGGAGCCAGGCGACCCGGGGGACAGGCCCCAACCCGCAGCCCCACTGCAGGGCCGCAGGGCCCCGCGCCAAGTGCGGGTGTGGGCCCAGGGCGGGCCGGCCAGCGCCCGGGGAGGGGCCGCTTTCTTGCGGCAGCAGACCCTCGCCGGCCCTTACCCCAGAACTAGCTCAGAATGGGCCGCGGACCCAGGGGAGCCCTAAACCTGACAACCCGGAGAAAACGCAGGGCTCACGCTGAGGCCGCCAGGCTCAGCAGTGATTCCCTGATACGAGGCCAAGGCCCCAGCGGCGGAGTGAAGCTCTCGAGGGCCATGAACCGACTGCGGAGGACCCTGCAGAGGCAGCCTGAAGCAGCCACCCTGTGGCTCGGCCCGGCCAGCCTTGAGGCCTGGTGTCCCGCTGGGGACCGTCCCCACACCCGCCAGGCCTGTCCTGAAGACGCCCCCAGGGAGCTGGCCACAGGCCATGCGTCAGGCCCAGGAAGGCGGACGCCCCAATTCCACTCTCGAGGGCCCCAAGACTGGGCAGCAGCAGGGTTAGGGTTAGAGTTCAGATTTTTTTTTAGTTTTATTTTTGCGTAGAGCTGGGGTGCAGGCCAGAGGTGCAGGAGTGCGCGGGCTCCTCAGAGACAGAGTGGGGAGCAGAGCAGGCGGACCCACTGAGACACACGGCTGGGGGAGCGGGGGGAGACGGGAGAGGTGGCACCGCGTGAGAGTCCGCCTGGCCCGCCGGGATCAAACCCGCGCTGCGGAGGCTGCGGACAGCTCCACGGCACTGCGCTCAACCCGCTGCGCCCTGGGGAGGCCCCGAATGGTATCTTTTCTATGTGTATTTTACCACAATAAAAATAGTTTCAAGGGCTTCAGGACGCACATGCCCGCCTTAGGGTGGGGCGCGGGGAGCCCTGGGACCCCACCCTGGCCGGGTGGAATCAGCTCCTCTTTCAGAACCGCCGCTGCTTCCCCGCGCGCCACCTGCACTTTTCCCAGCGACCCCGGGGGGGCGGCCAAGAGCTGGGCCTGGCGCTGCAGGGGAGGACCCGCTGGCCCGCAGGCTCCCTGGACAGCCCCTGTCCCTTCTTGCTGAGCTTCCTGGGGGGTCTCTAGGTTAGGAAAGCGCCAGAGGCCGGGCGGGGAGAGGGAGGGCCGGGAGCAGCCGGCACCCTGCACGTCAGCACTGCGCGGTTTGCAGAGCGCGAGACAGGTGTGGGCCCCTCGGTCCTCACCCCGTCGCCCCCATCGCCACCCCACTCCACGGCACCCTCTCTGCTGTCTCACTGGCCCTGCGCTGGGGGCCCCGGAAGCTCACTGTCCCCCGCCAGGCGCGTGCGGCCCCTGTAGGGCTGCCCGGGCCGGTGACTGCACCTGCGTGCAGAGCCCTCTGCACTCCCGACGGCCCTCAGGCCCGCCTCGCAGCCAGGTGGGCTGAGGCCCCGCACCCTTCCGGGGGAGCCCCTCCCCTCCTGGGGAAGCTGCTTCTGGGTCAGGAGCGGCTCAGGCAGACCCAGTGCGGGGCGGGAACCGTGAGGACCAGGATGTCCTTCGGTCCCCGCGCCTGGCCTCTGCCTCCGAGAGAGAGAGAGAGAGAGAGAGAGAGAGAGAGAGAGAGAGAGAGAGAGAGAGAGAGAGAGAGAGAGAGAGAGAGAGAGAGCACCAGAGCCCTGCCCGGCCCGGCGGTGGAGGCCTCCCCGCCACCCCCCGCCGTGGGGCTCACCTCAGGCCCAGCTGCGGCCGGCCGGGCCCTTCCACCACTCGGCGCGCTGTTTACAGCGTTCTGTCGGGCTTTCTTTCGGCTTCATCGGACTTTCTCATTCCGCGGGAACCCCAGAACCCGCACGCGGCCGGGGCACGAGCCCCAGGTCTGCCCCCTGCCGCCCTCCGTCTGCCCCGCGCGTGGCCGGCCCCTCCCCACCCGTGTCCAGAGGCCGCGCATGCTTGGGGCCTGGCAGGGCCTGAGCGGGACGAGCGGAGCCTCGAGGGCAGGCACGCCCGGCGCCCATCTCCTGCCGCGGGGCCGCAGCGGGCCTCAGCCAAGTGACCCGGAGGGAGGAACTTGCGACCTGGCGTGCCGGGCGCCCGGCTGGCTCGTGCCATGGACACAGCGGCCACGTGGGCTGGAGGCCAGGGCGCCGCGGCCGAGCCGGCCGGAGTTCAGGCTCCGAGGAGAAGGCGGCCCGCTGCGCCTCAGTTCCGCCCTGGGGAAGCTGAAGCCTTTCTCCTCCACTTGGGGGGCGGGTGAGGGGCAGGCGGGGGCCGCCGGGCCCTGGAGGGTGAGCCACGCCACGGCCACACAGCCACGCCTGGAGTGAGCCGCTGCTGCCGGCAGCTGCCCTGCGCGGGGGAGGCGGCGCGGCTGGGCCCTCCCTCACCTGGGGGGGCTGCGCGGTGTGCTCGGGAGCTGCGCACTCCTGCCAGGGAGGCGGTGGGGTGCACCCCAGGTCCCGCGGTCCAGCCCCTGGGCAGGCCCCAAGCAGCCAGTGGGCCCTTGGCCGGCCCCCCCCGACACACCTTGGGAGCAGGAAGCCGAGGCCGGGGGAGTCGCTCCTCAGGTCACCGAGTCAGGAGCTGGGGCCGAGGACCTGGCCTCAGGCTGGGAGTGGCAGGTAAGACGTGGGCCCCCAGGCCCTGGGCCGCTGGGGGGAGGAGAGGGCACCCCCAGCCCCACCCTATACCCAGTTCCCGGGGCGCTCGTGGGGCTCCAGCGGAGCCACGTGCAGGGTAGAGGCTGGAAAGTCCCTTCCTGTCCCTCATTTCCAGTCCCGAAAGGCCCAGGGGTTGGGGGGGCTGGGCGGTCAGTGCTGCCACAGGGGGCCCCCCAGGCGAAGGTCTGCTTTGAAAGGTGCCGCCCAGCGGGGGTCCTGGCCTGGGCTTGTCCCGGTCTGCTCTGGGCAACTTCCCACTTGCCCGCCGGGGCCCTGAGGCCCAGCATGTCTGGCCACTCTGAGGAGCAGCCCGAGGGGCAGGGCCGGCCGGGTGCTGCTGTCCCTGCACCAAGCGGTAGGCTGGGGCGCCCTGGGCCCCGGGGTGCCCGACCCAGGGAGTGAGCGCTGGGCCTGGGAGGGAGGGTCTCGGCAGTGGGCCCCCCATGGCGCCCCAGGACCTGGGCCCTGCCAGGAGCGGGGGCTCCCGGGGAGGCCGCAACTGCCTGGCCTCAGCTTCTGGGGGCCTAGCCTTCCTGAGGGGGGTGCGCCACCGGGGCCAGCCAGTGAGGGCCTCTCTGAGGAGGGACTGGTCATGGAGTGACCGGCCCTGGTGGCGCCACCCCGCACCGGGTCCCTGGCAGCACAGGTGGGGCAGGGCCAGGCAGGTGGGCTGGTGCCAGGGCTGGGGAATTCCAGGAGCCGGCCGCCCTCTCCCTGCGGCTCCTGCACATTCCTCGCCCTGGGTGGGCAGGCCTGGGGCTCGGCGCTGTCCTGGCAGAGATGCAGCTCTGGGGGGTCCGCCCCCACCTCCCGGGGGCCCAGATGGCTCTGCCGGCTCCGGCTCTGGGGCCCAGGGGTCTAGCCGAGGTGTCCGGGCTCTGCTGGCCTGGTGGGAAGCGCATGGGCGCCCCAGCCACAGGCCTTCCCAGGTGGGGAGCACCTCGCAGGTGAGGGGGCGGCGCCAGCCCCAGGCTCTAGCAGTGACAGCCCCCCCAGGGGAGGCACAGCGTGAGGAGCGGCCGCAGGCCCACGGAGCCGGGGCCTCTGGCGGGGAGGGCGCAGGCAGCGGAGGCAGCTCTGGGCGGGAGCTGACTCCCGGGAGAGGCCCCCCGGGGGGGGGGGCTGTTTACATTCCCGCAGGAAGTTTCCCCAGAGGAGCCACAGG